TGGGTTTCAGACATGATACATTGTTTTATGAGACGACGTGTTTTCACCGTATTTCCTAATGGATGTTTTTATGGGTTATTTAAATAAAAATGAAATTTTTGGGCGTGAATTTTAGGCTGTTACAAATATAGGGTATCAACCATATTTATAGTGCAGTCAGGAACCCTAGATAAATCCAAATCCAAGATTATCTTAAACCGGGTAATTATCCACTTTCCTGGTTATCCATTTAAGACTATTCTAGAAACCCTAAGGCACTAGAAAAACCGTCCACAACCTATGGAGGGTTCTAGATTGTCTCTTGCTCAACTATTGAACAATTACAATTCAGTCCCTACACTTTTAATTAATTTTTTTAATCCCAAAAATAATTCTAATTAATTTCTAGTTAAATATTAATTAAATATTACTATTTCTAATTAATATATTATTCTCATAATATATTTACAAATTATTTATTTTAATTTATTAATCAAATAATAAATCTACCTCTTTCTCCATAATCATCCTATCTAGTTGCAAATTTTGAGGGCAACCCAAAATGACTATGCTACTATCAATTCAAGTATATACCAGTTATAGTTATGAGATTAGACATCCAATCCAACAGGAGAATCTTTGGAATCAAAGAAAAACAACTTAATTCATTAAGCTGTTGAACCCCCAGTGGCCATGACGTGGCGGCTGGGTTGGTCACGACAATTTTTTTGTATCGACACCACGATGTAGTCAAGGATGACCACAACGTGGCGGTCTGTCTGTTGACTTTTGGTTTGACCATTTTTGACCAAGGGTATTTTGGGCATTTTATTAATTTGGGCCATGATTTGAATAATAGGTATCAGGTAGAGCCGATATTCGGAGCAGGGATGGATCAACTTTTGCTCGTACTGAGATGTGAGTTTTCCTCACTGTACTTGTAGGTCGAAGGCACCTATGTTGGTCCACTAGATTGTGTATCCTGGTTCAGAGGATGTTAATATATTATAATGATATGTAGATCGGTATCCTGGTATATAAGATGTAGTATGTAGTAGTGGTATGTGAGTCTGATAATTGATTATATGCATAGTTGTTGCTGGATATATGTTATATCTTATGTATATGTCGACATAGTATGGTTGGGTTGAGGTAGTATTGCTTTGTGCGATAGCCAACAAACCCGGGAGCAAGCCAACCATAAGTTGTGGGCAAGCCAAAGTTATGATGTGGGCTCGGGAGCAAGCCATATATGAGTTGTAGGCCCGATAGGCAAGCCATACTCATATTGTGGGCTTTGGGGTAATATAGTCTTTTTGCTGTGGACCCAGTATATGCTGTTGTATGTTATGTGTGATGGTACTTTGGGAGAACTCACTAAGCTTTGACTTATAGTTTCAGTTTATTGTTTCAGGTACTTCAGATGACCGTGGCAAGGCGAAAGCGTGATCGTGCACATCTTTCTATTTTTATGTTATTGAGTCTTAGGAAAACTCTGATTTCGGATGATACTTTTGAAACAATGGATTTGTAAACACTTATAAATGAAATGGGTAGTTTTGAAAAGTTTAAATTTTATGATTTTTGGAGTGTTACAATTTTTTCTAAGTAGCATTTCTCAATTTAAAGTAACTCCATGCTCTATTTCTCATACTCGCCTCATATCATTTTATATCTTCCAAAGTGATACATGGTAAAGAAAGACAGGTATTACAGACAGTGACAAAGCTATGACGATGACGACTAATAATGACCGTTCATCAGAGAAGAAGTCGACGACAAATTAATAGAGAGATGACTGTGGATCAGAGGCTGCCCGACGAAGAATGTGTCATCGAAGAGAGTTGGCAACAACATCGGAAGAGGCTGAATCGGAAAAGGGATCCGAAGAAAAAGGCCATCCGAGGAGAGGAGAGGGACCATTTGAGGAGGAGACAAAAAGCTCGGAGGCAAGAGCCATCCAAGGACGAGGCAGAAGCAGACAAGATAGTAGAAGAAACAGAGGAAGGAGCTTTGATTTGGTGTCAACAGTTGTGTTATTGTTTAGGAGAAGAAAGAATAAAATGAAAAATAATGAAAGTAATGAAGACACATACGGCAACTATCATAGAACGTCACCATAGGTGAAGGGTGGTGACTGTGGATTGTAGACAACAATAAGGTTTTAACTTAGAGTTCTGATACCATATTATTTATAAAATGCTTTGATATTGCTTGATCATAATGGATATTTAATATCATATAAATAGGAATGCAAAATGACTCTTGGCCTAACCTAAATCGTAATGGGTATTAGCTTAACCTTAATCACAAGCACTTTTAATGACTTTTTATATTATGAGTTACTATAATCTCTATTAATAATAGATTTATGCGTTGAAGAATCATATTCATCCATTGATTATTTTAGATGGTGTCGATTTAAAGAACAATAACATCCATGTTGCTATGGTCAATAATAACAAAAATACCCCTTTAGCTTTCGGAACGGGGAAGACGGGACCATGGGGACGTTCAGACAATGTTTTTTATGAAATTGATAGGATGCATAAGTCATACATACTGATATGCGAAAGAAAGGGCGTATAACAATTGACTGGAACTTGTGTCAACCCTCTTAAAAACTAGATATCTTACATGGATGCCATCCTACATATCAAGTGGTTTTGATATTAATTTCCAGGCCGGTGCAATGTACTATAAAACGTAACAAAAAGTCAAATTAGTCATCAAGGCAAAACCACGTTGAATTATTTTCACACACGTCGTATAGCAATTGGTCGTAATTCGTGTCAACCCAAGCCAAAATCATTATTTTGTTTTTGCACTCCCTATTGTTGACCTAGTTTCCAAAAATACCCCCTAAGTTGAAATTGTCTGAAATAAACCACAAACGTTACGGCTGTTTGATAAAAACACTTGTGACTATGATAAATCTACCAAAACCTTTTAAACTTTTTTTTTCTATCAGTTGCGTAAGTTAGTATATATTCTATTTATTCATTATTATACACATTCGTTTAGGAATACAATGGTTAATGGGTTTGTAACATCTTGTTCTTAATTTTGAATACACATGAATATACTAATGTTAGTTGTAAATTTAGCAATTTGATATAGGATACGACTAATACAACACGAATAAAACACATGTTTTTGTGTATGAGTTTTGAAAATTTGTGTTTCATGTCTATCCGTATAGACACATATTTTAGGTTTGTGTTTCTTGTCTTACATGTGTCCGAAACAAATTTATCTGTTTAAACATATATAACGAACATATAAAATTCATGTGATACAAACTCATATACGCCACGACTAAAATCGATATTTTAAGTTCCTAAAGAAACTAATACCAATTGTCAATTTCACCTCTCCGTCCACGACTCTCAATCTATGGTAATATTTATATAAAAAATTTTAAATACAATAGTAGTATATAAGTTACTGTACAATGATTTTATATAGATTCATTTAAAATCATTTATAAAGTTTTGCTAATCCATATCTTCTGTGCAAATATATTCGAAAACATAATATCTGTTACATAAAGGACATATTTTTAACTTTCCTCAAACATCAAAGGTGCTTTCTGTAAATTTACAATTTGAATCCTAAATTGCGTTCCGTGGTGGATCCAAACTATGTGTGTCCTTTAAAAGACTTCGCTTGCGCAGCGCAATTTCGTTCATGTTAAACCAACTCCTCCCTACCCTCTTCTCCTGTATAAAACCCTAGGGGTCTCTCCCCAAATTTCAATTAGATCTTTACCATTTCAACGCTGTAAGTTCTCGATCTATCTTTCCAAAATCTACGTCTATTCTAATTCTGTACTTTATCTGTGTTTAATTATTTTCATTTTGCAGAAATCAATTACGATGTTTGAAACTTGATATGATAGTATTTTACTATCCGATCTGTAATAATTTTTTCAATTGAAATGCGTAATTGTGTTTTCAATTCGATATGTGGTTTGTTTTTGTTTGAATTTGCTGGTTTTATGTTTTGGATCTTGGTATGAATGTATGTACGCATTTGATTTGTTCTTACGTTTCAATCGATTGGTTATTGTTGAGTCGATGGAACTTTAATTGACCTTCAATTTGTGGTTTCTAGTTAGTTTCTATTATTCAATGCTTTGCATGTCGATGAGACGAGACGATTTGAAAGTTTATTGAGCTGAAAGCGTAAAAATGTTGACATTTTAGGCCTTTTGAGTAGATGATACTTGCAAATTAATCGAAAGAGATGTAATGAATTAATTGATATCAGCGGACTCATGTTTAAATCATTTCTTTTGGGGGCTGCATGTGTTTCTTCAAGTCTAGGAAGGGGTTTTATCATAGTTGAATGTCTAGTTGTAATTGATGAAGCAGTTGGAACAAAGTATGGATTCTAGGTGTTTCTAAAGATGTTGAAACACAGTTCCTAATATACAATCTCTAGTTCCAATGTTAAAGCCAATTAAGACTTTTGTAATAATCATTCGCTTGTTACTTATACTTTCTTTTGTCAAACAACTTGAAACAGCTACTTCACAGTTCTGATTTCTCAAAATGGGAGGTGGTTTTAGAGTATTACATCTAGTCAGGCCCTTTCTTTCCTTTCTACCTGAAGTCCAAAGTGCAGACAGGAAAGTTCCCTTCAGAGAAAAGGTCATATACACAGTGATCTCCCTTTTCATCTTTCTAGTCTGCAGTCAGCTTCCTCTATATGGCATACACTCCACAACTGGTGCAGACCCTTTCTACTGGATGCGTGTTATCTTAGCCTCAAACCGTGGAACTGTCATGGAGCTTGGAATCACTCCCATTGTCACCTCTGGACTAGTCATGCAGTTATTAGCAGGATCCAAAATCATTGAAGTTGACAACAATGTCCGTGAGGATCGTGCACTACTGTAAGCATTACATCTTTCTTTCTTTAACCTTCTTCAAACCTTCTCCATCTTTAAACTCTTTAATTTTCCAGAAATGGTGCACAGAAGTTGTTGGGAATCTTGATTGCTGTTGGTGAGGCTGTTGCCTATGTTCTATCAGGAATGTATGGAAGTGTTGGTCAACTTGGTGTTGGAAATGCTATCCTCATAATCGTTCAGTTATGTTTTGCTGGGATTATTGTGATCTGTTTGGATGAACTTCTACAAAAGGGATATGGTTTAGGATCCGGGATTTCATTGTTCATAGCTACCAATATCTGTGAAAGCATTATCTGGAAAGCATTCAGCCCTACAACCATTAACAGTGGACGTGGTGCTGAATTTGAAGGAGCAGTGATTGCATTGTTTCATCTTCTAATCACTAGATCTGATAAAGTTCGAGCATTACGTGAAGCTTTTTATAGGCAAAATCTGCCTAATGTGACTAATCTGCTTGCTACTGTGTTGATTTTCTTGATTGTTATATACTTTCAAGGGTTTCGTGTTGTTTTGCCTGTGAGATCTAAGAATGCTCGTGGGCAACAAGGGTCTTACCCCATTAAGCTGTTTTACACTTCCAACATGCCTATTATTCTCCAGTCTGCACTTGTTTCCAACCTTTATTTCATCTCTCAGGTATTAAAGTCTTTATCTTTTCTTTATTTCTTTACTTGTTGAATCGAATAATTACTTATATTGTTGTTCCTTTTTCAGTTGTTGCACAGAAAGTACAGTGGGAACTTTTTGGTTAATTTGTTGGGAAAATGGAAGGAGTCTGAATACTCTGGTCAATCTGTCCCTGTTGGTGGTCTTGCTTACTATGTTACTGCACCTTCAAGGTAATGACTGATTCCATCCATATTTCGATTCCATTCCATTCCATGATCTGTGATATGATTTATTGTTTGGTTGCATGTGAATATCATCAGCTTGGCTGACATGGCAGCAAATCCCTTCCATGCTCTTTTCTATCTGGTGTTCATGCTAACAGCCTGTGCTCTCTTCTCAAAGACCTGGATTGAAGTTTCTGGATCTTCTGCAAGAGATGTCGCCAAACAACTCAAGGTAATCTAATAATACTAACAATAACATAAAACCTTTCTATGCCAAGGGCATTTACGTCTTTTGCACATGCAAGATATGAAGAGTTAAGTTGTGTTTAACGCGCCACAGCTAGCTTATTTTTCGAGTTTTTTTTTAAGTTGTCATGTTTGGCAAACCAAAAAGTAGCTTATAAGCTAGCTTTTTAAGGCTAGCTTTTTATGTCATTTTATATTTTTCAGCTAGTTTTACCAAACATTATTTTTTATCAGCTAGCTTTCAGCTATAAGCTAGTTTTTTATTTAACAGCTAGTTTTTCAGCTATCAGCTAACAGCTAGCTTTTCAGCCAGTACGCCAAACATAACCTTAGTCCATATGGCATATCATCACACCTTTTGTTGGGACAAAAGTTGCAATTTTTATCCCATTGACATGAATATCAGTATCAGTACCAGTATGCCAGTATTCTGTAACACTATAACGTATTGGTTTTGCAGGAGCAACAAATGGTGATGCCGGGACATCGGGACTCGAATCTTCAGAAGGAGCTGAACCGGTACATCCCAACAGCAGCCGCGTTTGGGGGAATGTGTATTGGGGCTTTGACTGTTTTGGCAGATTTCATGGGAGCCATTGGATCTGGTACTGGAATATTACTAGCTGTCACTATCATATATCAATACTTTGAGACTTTCGAGAAGGAGAAGGCCAGTGAACTAGGTTTATTTGGCTTTTAATTTTTTCTTTTTAGAGACAACCACTTTTAGCAAACCTATTTTGGTTTGTAGGGAGGGACTTGCAGTTTGAACCTATTAACTCTTTTTTTCTTTAGTCTTTGGGTGTTGCATCTACAATACAATGTTTTTTTCTCTTATACGTGATCTGATCGTTTTTTGGTTTTTTTAGCATCATACATAACAGTAAAGAAATAGCAATAGAATAAATAAATGGGCTTTTTAAAGTCCATAATATGTGATATAACCAAGAAGAGAAATTCTAGAGTTATATCTAACAACAGAGCCCAATGAAAATTTCAAAGATATCAATTAATCAAGTAACGAATTTATGGATATTATAAAACAAGGTAAAATGATGTTGTAGTTATTAGTTAATGTCCTTCCTGTTAAAAAACCATTATTAAGTTTATATTTTTGTACACATTTTACTATTATTTTTGTACATATTTTTAATCACTTTATCTTTTTCAGCGAACACAATTCCATAAAATATGATAACATATTTTTATTTGTTCATTTAAAAAAATGAACAACACTGCAAAACACATAATCTTTTTATTTTCCTCCTCTCTAAAACATCGTCACCCTCCCTTTACTGCAATCGACATTTTACCTGCTTGCTGCTGCTTACACGTTTCTTGCTCCTCTTCATCTCATCTCATGTTACTTTGTGAAAACCACCATATCCCAACATCGCTCTTTCTTCTTGAATCCTATGACACCTGTAAATACCTCTGTGAAAAGGATTTTAGATTAGTTTATTGGTGGTGGTGGTGAATGTGGCGATAGAAGACAGTCTTTGTTGTTGGAGATGGATGGTGTTGGTGGGAGGTGGATGGTGGTTGTTGGATGGTGGTTGTTGGAGTGGATGGTGTTGACCTGAGTATATTACAATACATAGTTTAATGTTAAATCGTATAGAAAAAAAGTTTAAATAGTAAATTATGTACTAAAAACATTATGGTATAATACCCAATGAAAATAGTAAGTTTTAAACTGCCCAAATGAGGTTAATGGTAAACCGTGTAAAAAATAAAAAACTAAATCTGTATCAAAATAATAAATTCACTATCCTACAAAATTATTTCTCTAAAAACATGTAATTCTTGTCACAAAAATGTTTTGCATAACTACTTTTAATCAATATAACAGTTTTTTTGTTTATTTTCTTTCACAATCAAATGATGGAGTTGGTTAGATAAACAAAGTTTCTTATTCTGTCCTTATAACTTATAAGACTCTTTTATGAAACTGCTAAGCTTGGTTGGTGATTTTTATAATTTTCAATTATTTGACATAAAGATAATAATGAATAAGATGTATGTCTTTTTTTATCGTCAAGAAATTACAGCAAAAGGTTGACATGTAACCATTTTTGGAAACAAAAAGTGATTGCACTTGATCAATGTAACAGGTGAAACAAACATATGAGTGAAATTCCCACCAAAACATTAACTTTTGTAAGTTAGCCTTTTCAAGTCAAATATAAGAAAAACATCTCTTTATTGTAAGTATATTCAATTGAAAAAGTCTTATATTATTTTCTTATTTATTTAAAACGTTCCATTATTTGAAATATGTCTACTGCATTTTCTCATGGTTTTACTTTCGAAAACATGACTAGAAAGGTGTGCCATGGCACAAGGTTTGGTATAGTCGTCTCAAAAACATTCAAGGCATGTTTGTTTGTTAAGAGTGTTGCTAATAATGTGTCAAGACAGCAAGTTGTTTTATTATTTTATTATTTTTTATTTTTTTAATCGGACATGAAACAATTGAGTTTTTGTTAACTTTTACATATTAAATGTTGATATAACACTTCTAAAAGTTTGATATACTTAATAGTTAATTTAAGAGAAATCTTCAGAAAAGTCTCAATATTTTGGATCGGTTTATTCAAAAGTCTCAAATTTTATTTTGTTAAAAAGAAGTCCCGATTACCGAATAAAAAAAATTCAAATCAACCATTTTTTACCCGGTTACCTCATAAAAGTCCCATTATTTGACATAGTTTATGAAAACCCCCCCCCCCCCCTTTTTTTTATTTCTTTATTTCAACTCTTTTACCCTTTCATTAAGTGAAAACTGAAAATTTCTTGATTGAAATTATGAATAAGAATAAACGACATTAAGCTCCATAATACTAAGGATTAAAGACCTCTATAACGCATTATTTGCAACAAAACAATGACGTTAACATCATTTTGAACTCATCATCGTCCATATAATCCAATTTCCATACAAATTTACGTTACAAGTATTATACGGTATTCAAATTATGTGTTGAACACCTTAATACAATCTACCTAAAAGTAGGCTAAAGAAAAACCAACTTTTATGTTCGTATAAGAAACTATGACATCCCCAGTTTCACGGCCAATTAAAACTTTTTCTTTATGCTTATTTAATTTAGAGTATTCGTTTATTGCGGGTTTTGTTCCCAAAACATTTATGAAGAAATGGTTTTTCATATAAAAACATGGGACTTCATAATTGATACAAAACATAAGCATAAACTTGTCTTAACATGCCTTACAACATCTTATTGTACTAATGGCCTACATCTCCTCAAATCTTTCATCAGATCCAAACATCACTTATCCATGTACCTTCGTATTGCTACCTGTGATACAAAGAAACTGAATGGGCTAGGCTTGGGAGCCTGATGAACACATAGAGTTTTCAACCTACAATATTATAATTAATTTGTTTAATTATGTATTTCGCATCAAATAAATAACCTGATTATCCATTTCACGTTAATCTAACTCCTTGATCCTAAACCGATGATCTCAAGGGATCTATCCTAAAGGATCTCCGAGTAAACAATACTGCCTCGGGGATTCCTTCACAATATGCGTTAATAAGACAACCATGGGGTGAACAGAGTACCCTCATGAATAGTTCATTCATACCCACATGTTGTAGTCCTGTCCGTATGTGGTTCCTTAACATATACAAGTCGGAGACCTGCCTATGTACAATTCAGTAACACTTACAGGTTGTAGACTTGTCCGCGTATGATTCATTAATGCCTACATGTCGTAGACCTATCCACATACAATTTATTAATGCCTACAGGTCGTAGACCTATCCGCATACAATTTATTAACACCTACAGGTTGTAAACATATAGTGTATGATTGATTAACACTTATAGGTTGTAAACCTTCCTGTGTGTGGCTTATAAACATCTACAGGTTGCAATCCTGTCCATGTTTCACCACACGTGTCTAGAATATTTTGTGGTTTTCATCAATACCATACTAGGTGACTACATCGCTGGTACAATTGTACTATGAACTCTCATTATTTTCCTCAGTCATTACCATGTACCAACCAATATTATATAAATATGAAAATACATATACGGTTAAATAAAAATCATATCATATAGCTTTATCTAACACAAAAGTCCTTAACCACATATAATAATCACACATAGTCTTTAATTATCTAAATACTTCATATCTATCTGTAAGACGAAAGTAACTATACACTCACTTGTCAAAAGTGGATGACATGTGATTTGGGCAGAGCTTCGCCTAATGCCTTAACTTTTCCTTTGATATGACCTAGGTGTATACATCACTAAGTCTTAGTCTTATATTGTTGGTGACTAATGATAGTCTACATTCCTCAACAATCCTAATGTCTACATCAAGATCTATCAAGTAAGGAATAACCAGGTAAGATAATATCGGAGGTAGGGTCCGTTTGGTATACAAAGTATACTATTTGGAAGTCCCACTTTAAAAATCTCACTAAATCTAGCCTACACATAATTTATGTAAGTAAATCAATCATTATAATGACATGGAATCACTGATAAATCTTGCTTATAGGTTCATAATAACGATAATGAGCTTAAACATAAGTTACACTTAAAGCAAGGTAAGAAAAGTTTTACTTACAAAAATTTTAGCGAAAACTGGGAAATTGCGCGGGCAGAACTCTGACCCGAAAGCTCCTTTTTGCCGGGCACCTAAATACTTCAGAGTGTAGCTAAAAATACTCAGAAGTACGTAAAAGTTGCACTAAGGACCGGAGAGATTTCAGAGAGAAATATGAGAAATGAGCTGTTTCGCAGCTTATTTATAGTGGGATTCAGCAGGCGCATCGCACCCTCTCGTCGACGTCGCTCTTCCGAAATGCTGCCACGTGTCATAAACTAGGTGGGCCACGTCTGCTTGTCAGTGCGCGCCGCACACACTGTCGGAGCACACGAAACTTTAATATTTTATTTTTTTTCAAAAATTCATATCTCTCTCATACGAGCTCCATTTTCGATGTTCTTTATATCCACGTGTTCGCTTTTACGATTACTATGAATTTCATTTAGATTACTTAGGATAATAAGGAACCTATCTAAAATTCACTTTTTACGACATGCTTTACCGTATCGGGTTGAATGCGGGATTTCAAATGATCATAACTTCTTCATACAAAGTCAGATTTAGGCGTTCTTTATATGTACGAAATCACCATCGCGACTACTACAAATTCTTCAAGATTATGTATCCTAAATAATTTGTTATCAGAAACGTTAATTTATCACATATTGATAAATTTCCTAAAAAGGCTTATATTATGTAGTCAGCAACGCGCACGACTAACGATTATCCTATTCGAGGATTAAATTATTCAATAAAATGAATAACATTTATTATAATTATTCAAATCATCTAGCCCAAACTTACGGGCGTTACAGAAACCACTGACCGATTAAAAACTAATCAATACAATATTAGATTATGTGAGGTTGTACGAATTATATAGAAGAATATGAGTTTTATTCTTAAATCTTAAGCATATATGAACAATTCCTCCATTGATCAATTACTTTATGAACATAAAGTAGTTGATCCATGGAGGAATCGTAAAGTAATTTATCCATGGAGGAATTGTTATGTTTGATAGATTTTTTAGGTTACAAAAATATGTGGTGGAAAAACCTTAACCCTAAGTTCACATGCAACCTATTGGATCTAAGTTTTCTCTATTGATTTGCAACGAACAATTGAACATCAAGAATCCTAGAAGTACTCTACTATTTTCAAAATTCACAAAGGGATTAGGGTTTACATACCTTTTGATTATTGTTGTAAATAATCAATAAAATCCTTCTTGAATAAGTTCTAGAAAGAAAGCAGCAGAAATCTC